CAAGTCCTCACTTTTGCATAAGACGCTCCTTGTTGGGTCCTGTCAGTGGTGCCTCCTTGGGCTGCACAGACTTGATTTTATCTGCTTTGTCTTTTGGAATCCAGCTCTTTTTCTCTGCCCTGATCCCCATCTTTTGTGCTCCAATCCCACTTATTCTTTTCGCCCAGGAGTGTCCTCCCATCATCTTCACATATGGAATTGTCTGGTTCATCAACCACAGGGCCAGACTTGAGTCTGTCAAATTTATTCATCTTCCCATAGAAGTGACAAGTTTTTCGTTGTTTGGTCCATTTGTCACTCCCTCCCTCTGGGCTGTCCTGCTGTGGTACACCTTTTGGCCTTCCCCACTTTGTTGTTCGACCATGGATTGGCACTCTGCACCTCGTTTTTGTGCAGCTTTGTCAACAACTTTTTGCTTTTCCCATTGCTACCAAGGTGTTTTCTTCTCCTTTTCTCTCCACTTTGTTCTGGTCCTTTGTACTTCACCAAACACCTTGTCTGATTACCATGTTTTACAAAGTCTTTAACACAGTCTTACATGTTCTCACATATGCTTAAGTTTTTATACCACTTTTTTTCTCCCCTTTGTTTCCCATCATTTGAATGTTTATGCCACCCATGTTTTCCACACTCTCATTCACCATACTAATTTTCTCTTATTTTCTAATCAGACTGTTTTTCCTAAGACTTCAGTTGCTTGGGAAGGTGATCGTTTTTCTTTTCAGTCTCCCTCCCCTTTAGTTCTCACTTCTATCCTAACTATGACACTGATTGTCTTTTTTCACAGGTTTATGCTGTTCAATGTTTTTTGGATTGAATGTCTCCTTTTCAAGGGTCCATGCCATTGTTTGTTTATACTTTGGGACCCCCTTTTCATCCAAGGACTTCTCATCTGTTATCCTTACTGGATGGATCTGCCATTTCCTTTAGTTGATGTATTCTTCAATGGATACTGGTGCTTGCTTTTTCACTCTTTACCTCATCATCTGTCTCATTGTTTTCATCTCATTTACACTGAGCCTTGGATGAGGTCCTTCAGTCTGGTATGTAAACAAATCCATGCACATTCATTTCCTATTATTTTTATCATTTAGCTGTTGAATCTCCTGTTGGATTTTGATTCTCTCTTGTCACTATTCTTCAGTGTACACACTGTCTTTGAGAATGGTAAGTACATTTTCATTTTCAACTCCCTATTTACTTTAATAGAATTCTGCCAGGTGGCTGATGTCTCCCAGGGTATGCTTATTTCCCAAATTCTGTATCAATGAAACCCCCTGTGCTCTCCTATAAAACTTTTTCCCTACATCATTTATTCTAAGGAATTTATTACCCACATTTTTCTTCTGTAATCAGAAGAAGATTGCCATTAGCAAATACTGATTAGTTTTATAA